TCAAAACCTTCTAACTCGGTAAAACCAGGAGAGTTAAACTTATTCTGTGGGGTTAGTTTACACAAAGAAGTAGAAGGACTCAAAACCTTCTAACTCGGTAAAACCAGGAGAATTAAACTTATTCTGTGGGGTTAGTTTACACAAAGAAGTAGAAAAACTCAAAACCTTCTAACTCGGTAAAACCAGGAGAATTAAACTTATTCTGTGGGGTTAGTTTACACAAAGAAGTAGAAAAACTCAAAACCTTCTAACTCGGTAAAACCAGGAGAATTAAACTTATTATTTTTTACTATGAATACAAAATGCATCATACGGGTACTTACAACAGAATGAAGTACAAAGAAAGTTAACAACTTGCTTCGAAGTTCATTGACCCGTAGAGAATATTTAGATATTTGGCTGAAAAGTGGTGCCATCTGTTAGTCATTTTAATTATAATTCATATTATCTAACATGTTTAACTCGATAATGTTTTTAACTGTAACTCAAAGCTAAAAAAACGTATCAGTTACACGTAGCTTAAACTAGAAAACAGAAGTTCGAAGAAGTATGTCACGTGACAGTTACCGAGTTACTTGGAATATTGTTTAACTCCATGTACAGAGTAACGCTTGGAAAGAGTTACTTGGAATATTGTTTAACTCCATGTACAGAGTAACGCTTGGAAAGGAGTTAAACGATACCGAGGGTAAATGTTTATATTTTGTGAGTTATATAAAACAGAGGTGAATTCTACAGCAGTATTTTGTATAATTTGTTATAGTTCATCGTCCTCTGTTCTACAACTCTGGTATAGAATCAATTACTTCTGCCTGGAACTGTTACAGACTGGTATCGAAGAAAGAAGTGATGAAAAACAAAAATGGTTCACGGTCACACGAGTGAGTAAACTTGTATGTAAAAATATAACTAATGTATGTTTGAACTGTTGAGACGAAACGGCTCTCACATATCCTTAGAGACGTTACTTTACGAGGTTTAAGGTGAGGAGATTTGATATTTCGAAATGTCCAATAAAACAATATACAAGACAGAAAGCTACACAGAAATATCCAATAAAACAATATACAAAACAGAAAGCTACACAGAAATGTCCAATAAAACAATATACAATACAGAAAGCTACACAGAAATGTCCAATAAAACAATATACAATATAGAAAGCTACACAGAAATGTCCAATAAAACAATATACAATATAGAAAACCACCATAAACTATAGATTATTTAGATATAATACACGTACTGTATGTACGAGTTGGATGTTTGTGTGTTATACAAATTCGTGAAACAAACAGAATATGAACGATGAAAACTGTAACATTGGAATAAATATGAAGTTAATGAGAAAGTCGAATTAACAGAAAGCTAATGAGAATAAAAAAGTAATGAACGAAGATACTGAAACAGTTGAATGAACAGAGACTGAGAAGTGGTCCAAATGTTTTCTTCTTTAATGAACTTGTGAGATTTTGTGAACCCTGAAATAGCATAAGTGTACTAAAATCACTTGCTGTTTTTAGGTAAATTTTATAGTGATTTTGAAACCAGAAAACGTAACGTGATAAGTGAAACATAATACTGCTTCTCTAGATCGAAACGTAACGTGATAAGTGAAACATAATACTGCTTCTATAGATCGAAACGTAACGTGATAAGTGAAACAATACTGCTTCTCTAGATCGAAACGTAACGTGATAAGTGAAACAATACTGCTTCTCTAGATCGAAACGTAACGTGATAAGTGAAACATAATACTGCTTCTCTAGATCGAAACGTCTCGAATCCTATTCAGATAAAAGAGTAATTTAAAATGATAAAACATAACAGATAATGAGAACGTCAATGAATACAAGACTATTATAAATCAGACTATTGTACGTTGAAATGTAACGAGTTTCTAGTTCGGAACCATTGTACAGTTTTACAGCTTGATCAGAAAGAAAATGGGTAAATTTATTACAGATTTACATAAAATCTTGAGTTGCGACGTGTTCATGTGTATCGAGGTGAAACCGAATTTGAGAGGTTCAGACTTCTCGAACCAACATCTGATGAGCACGTGGCCGTGACATATATTATGGCTATAACACAAAAATGGGTCAGTGTATCGTAACCGGTACAAAATAGTCTCACTGTTAACTCCACTAATACTGGATATCGTCCTATAATCGCCTGTGGAGGGCGTGTTCAATTCTATTTCAAGAAACCACGTGTGTAGGGAATGTTGTTAGAGAAAAAGAAATCGAACTAATATTAATTTGGACATCATAAAGCGAAGCGCGTGCAAAATGGAGCTAGAGTTTTGTCTTTTTTTCCTCACTTGTCATAAAAAAGTCGAGTTCTATAAATGTTTTATACAATAAGAGATTGTATCGGTATTGCAACAACTGCATTATCTTATAAAGGTCATGGACATCGAACGGTTGTCGAAAATAAATACAAATCGGTTCGAAAAGAAAGAAAAACAGTAACTTATTTTTTTTTTCAGTTCTGTGGCGGCGATGGTTTAAATGAGAACGTCCCGCACCTTGTTTCACAATTCTGTCGTCCCTATAAAAGCAGATATCATCAGCTAGAAGAGCAAACATCAGCTAGTCCTCGCTGGAAGAAGAAAACATCGCCCTTAAGCTCGTAGTTTATTTATGGTTGTTAAGATGGAGCCACGGGTAAGCCTAACAATTTAAATATTTCATAATCAGCTAAAGATATTTATTAATTCTTATAAGTTGTAATTAAAAACGATTGATAACAACATTTTCTTCTACGTATCACAACTATCAAATTGTAGATGAAAATTCTAGTTTTACGTTCACGTTCGAGGTACGATTCAAAGCCTTTCGTATTTGACAGAAAAAAAAAGGTTTTTAAATTCAATAAGCACTTAAAAACCCATTAGACACTAGAAATTCAATAAAAAAAACAAAAAAACTACTTCTAAGTTATTTGTTAAGATTGTGACTGTAATTTCACTTTATATAACTAGTTCTTTAACTAACTGGGCACGGCCTAGTAGTTAACGTGCTAGGATGTGGATCCAATGGTACATTGTTCGCGTCCCGTTACCGCGTAAAACAACAACAACAACAACAAAACGCACTCCAGCCGTTATAAGGGTTATGGTTCAATTAGAGAATCCTATGAGTTCTGGTGGGTCTTTCCTCAAGTTCAAAATAAGTACCGGTTAGCACAGATAGGCTTAGAGCAACTTTGTGTGAATGTCCAAAATAAACCCAAATCTGGGTTAATTATTATTATTTTAGAACAAAGAATCACATGTAAACAGGTTTCTTTCAAAAGTGTCATATTGCTAAATAATAACAACTTTGTCTGGTTAGTTTCTAACACTCGGATATTGTTCGACTTTCAGCTCGTTATGTATACTGACAGATTGTAGCACGTGCTCAGTGTTCGATTTGACTACATATGTATTAATAGATTTCAGCCCGTGTATGTACTGACAGGTTTCAGCCCATGTATGTACTGATCAGGTTTCAGCTCGTGTATGTACTAATAGATTTCAGCCCGTGTATGTAGTGACAGGTTTCAGCCCATGTATGTACAGATAGGTTTCAGCCCGTGTATTTACTGACAGGTTTCAGCCCGAGTATGTACTGACAGGTTTCAGCTCGTGTATGTACTAATAGGTTTCAGCCCGTGTATGTACTAATAGATTTCAGCCCGTGTATGTACAGATAGGTTTCAGCCCGTGTATGTACTAATAGGTTTCAGCCCGTGTATGTACTAATAGATTTCAGCCCGTGTATGTACAGATAGGTTTCAGCCCGTGTATGTACTAATAGGTTTCAGCCCGTGTATGTACTAAT